CAAAAAACATTCCCATCACTCTAGATACGCATTTAAAAAATCTATACATTCAGTTAAGAAAAAATGCTCCTTGATAATGGCTAATAGAATAGCCGAAAGTGCCCGGATGTATAGAACATTTTGACAAGTTCAGTAAAGAAAACGAACACAAGAAAAATTAAATAAAAAGCTTAATCGCAGTATCTTGTCAGTCGGCTTTAATGAATACATATATATAAATAAAAAAACGATTTCAAACTCTTGAAACCATCCAAATTAAAAACCAAAAACCCAACATAAATAATATAGTATTTAATACTGGCAGAAACATCTAAAACATATTAAATAATGAATCATCAAATTAATAAACACCAAACACCATCCATATTAATAATGAACTAATCCAACTACATTGTCTACATACGCAAAACATTATCTCTAAAACTAAAATAATAAGCAATCTATTTCAAATCAAAACATACAGCCATGATGACGGTTGACGATAAGCGAAAGCGCTCGTCAAAACACCATCGACTAGGGTGCTTTTTCAACAACTTACACCCAAATATATAAAAAAAAATTGCGAGAAAGCAAGAAAAAAAAGAAAAAAAGATTATTAAATGGAAAAGTTTTTTATTTTAACTTTTTACACACACACACATATATATATATATATATATATAACATAAGGAAAAATTGATTATTTTTTAATAATATGTGGAAATCTCCAGCCCTTACCTGATGACGGTCGTGATACCAGAAACACGTGTAGCAAAATTTATGGGAAAAAAAATCCACATCAGAACCAAAAATGTTTGTGGTTTCTCTCTTCTTTTTGATATACACTTTTCCCTTTGGAACTACTATAACTTTCCCTTATATATATATATATATATATATATATATATATATATATATATATATATATATATATATATATATATATATATATATATATATATATATATATATATATATATATATATATATATATATAATATATATATAATATATATATATATATATATATATATATATATATATATATATATATATATATATATATATATATATATATAGCTAACAAATGTTGAGTTACATCATTAAATCTCACAGCACCAATTATGTTACTAGAAAAAAACGTTGCAGGCGGTGTAATGGTTAGCAAGCTTGTCTCGCTAAAACAATTTCGACTGAGTTGTTACGACTGGGTACCCCTACTTTCGACCTTGTGCCACATCTAAGCCAGGCTTAGAAAATCACTATATAAAACGTTGTATATTTATCATATAAATAAAAATATATAAAAATATATATGATATATATTTATCATATAATATAAAAATATATATAAAACGTTGCATATTTATCATATGAATATATTCTGAAATATTTACCAAGATTGTTTGGTTAATGTTAGATTTATTATGAAAACATTGATTAGTATAATAAAATTTGACATAGCATATCTCTCTCTCTCAAACTGGTTATTCTTTTCTTTCTTCTTTTTCTCTGTCTCTCACCCTCTCTCTCTTTGTTTCACTGTCTCTCCCTCTCTGTCTTTCACTCTCTCTTTCTCTCTCTGCCTCTTTCTGTCTCTCAGTCACTCTCTATCCGGAGATGCCACTTTTCCTCTGTCTTTATATTCTTGCATATTTACACGAAATATTTCAAAACAATCCACTGGCATTCTTGAAATTTGATCTTTCTGTTGACAAATTCCAAATTCGCTTGTAGCCATTTTCTCGGCACTGTCGCGAAAAACGATTTATTTGATAAATTCTGACGTCTCCTTTCTAGTTGTGTCAAAAAGAAGAAAAAAAAAGACATTTTCGCTGAAGTTCATATGTCATATCGTTAGAAATAGTAGAATTAGTAACCAGTTTGATGAAATCGGTTCAAATAAACTAAAACTGACCTCAATATATAGACCCAACCACTCGGCTTAACCTACAAAAGTTATCAATTTAGACCGTTTTAACTGTTGTTGCTTTTATATCTCAACACTCAGGTCGTTTTAATTTCTACGACCGTTAAACAGCATGGATTGGGAATAAAAATAAATAAGACAACGATTTGAACTCGAACCACTTATTATTGGGAAGTAGTTTGAAATAATTTGCATAAGGAGGACAAGCCAATAGACGACGATAAAATTTACTTATATTCAGAATGAGCTGAAAAGTTCTCGGCCTGACTAAAAAGCCTTGCTCTCCAAATATTATATGTGGTCATTTGCTTAGATTGCTGGGGAGTGGGACGGGACGAGAACTCTACGACATTCTCTCGTATGTCCCTATATCAGTGGTCGACAAAGAGGTGGGGGTGGCTGGAAATTACTTTGGATGGCGTATAATCGGAATTTCTGGAGGCAATGAAGTGGGTAACTAAATTTTACCCAAACAAATCGAATCTAAACTGCCAGACTGTCATGTAACCAATCTGAAAGTTTTTTTGGAGGTGGGCGGGGGAGGAGATGTAGCCAGATCACATCGAATTGAGCTTTTAAAAAATTCCTCACGGTATTTTTTCATAGTTGCATGATTTGCTTGTCCTGTTATCTGTCCCCGTGTGTGCTTCGGAAGAAAGTCATCATAATGTAATTTTGGAATTAAAGGTTTCAGTTCTTGATTTTAAAATTAAAAAAATATTTCTCTTCCTAAATTAGACCTGTTTGTCTGAATAATAATAATAATAATAATAATAATAATAATAATAATAACAATTGATCATCTTGTATCAGGTTGCATGATATTGGCACACACTGAGTATAAAACCCGACATGACAGAAAATATAATAATATCTGCACTGGAAAATCTGCAACTTCTACGGAAGGAAACTGAAAGAAACTGGTATGAACACCACCCAGACCCAGTTACGGAGATAGGACCTGTTACAATTCTATGGGATTACACAATACACACTGACAGGACAATCAAGGACAATCGGCCAGATATTGTTATTAAAGACCACAAACAAAAAAAAAGTGCCTCCTTATTGATATGGCAGTCTCTGCAGACTGCAATGTATATTTGAATATATTAAAAAAGTTGTCAAAATACAAGGACCTTGAAATAGAAACCTCAAAAATGTGGCAGATAGGAACATCAACAATCCCAGTTGTAGTTGGAGCCCTAGGATTGGTTGGAAAAGATTCCAGTAGACTAACTGAAGGGATTCCTGGAAGTCCATGCCTCAAAGAGATACAAAAATTATTCTGACAAGTACAGCCCACACTTTACGAAGGGCTTTATCTATGTAATTTTTTTTTTTTTTTTTGTCAGTGGAAAGTGTCATGATGCCATTTCTAACCTTAGGTCTCTGGGCGGGACCCGGAAAGAAATGTGTAAACGCCAGAAATCAAAGGAAATAAAAATAATAATGATAATAATAATAATATTAGTAGTAGTAGTAGTAGTAGTAGTAATAATAATAATAATAATAATAATAATAATGATAATAATTTGCACAAGACCAATGCTTGCTAATTAGAAATTATGAAGCACTCACACTGAAAAATTGTGTTATCCCAAAATGTATATTCTGTGATAAATATACAGAAACAATTGACCATCTTGTATCAGGTTGCAGGGTATTGGCACCCACTGAATATAAAACATAGCATGACAGAGTGGGCCAATATCTGCATTGGAGAATCTGCAACTTTTACGGAAAGGAAAATGCAAGAAATTTGTATGAACACCACCCAGACCCGGTTACAGACATAGGAACTGTTACAATTTGATGGGCCTTTACAATACACACAGACAGAACAATCAAAACTAATCACTCGGACATCGTGATCAGAGACCACAAACAAACAATTGCCTCCTTATTGACATGGCAGTCCCTGCTGACTGCAATGTATCTTTGAAGACCTTAAAAAACAAAACAAAAAGAAACTATCAAAATACAAAGACCTTGAAATTCAAATCTCAAAAATGAGGGCATCAACAATTTCAGTTTTAGTTGGAGCCCTCAGATTGATTGGAGAAGGTTTCGATCGACTCATTGAAGTGATTCCCGGTAGCCCAAGCCTTAAAGAAATGCAAAAAAAATTATGCTCACAAGAACAGCCTAAAGGGCTTTATCTATGTAAAATATGAGTGATGTTTTTTTTTTCCTCAAAATATGCTCAGTGGAAAATGTCATGATGTCATCTCTGACCTTAGGTCTCTGGTTGGGACCCGGAAGCAAATGAGTATATACGAGAAATCAAAGGAAAAACATTACTACTATTACTACTATAGCAATAATAACAACAACTATTTCCAGGATTATTTGTATTTCGCAAGATACTTTGGTGACAGTACTATTTGGATCAGCTCATGTGGTGAGGCAAGTGAAGAAGCTGAGATATTATACGGTCGAAACCTCTCGGGGAGGAGCTCAATCTCAATAATAATAATAATAATAATAATATCTAATAGATCATTAAATGTTTATTTGACTTATCTGATTGACCGATTCAAAAGTTTCGCGTCGAAACGCTCATAATCGATAAATCTATTGAAATTATTATCAGATCTCATCATTATTAATAATGAATTAAATTTCGCATAACCTTGACAACTAATAATATCAAGGTTGTTTGTGCTTATACACCCAGTAAAATTCAAAATAAGTTATTCCAGAAATCGTCCGAAAATGAATCAGAGATAAAGATTTTAAATTTAATTCTATAATTAAATTTAAAGTTTAATTTCTGATTTTGAAACATGATAATTCCTGTGTAGCGATGAAACCATATTTTTAAATTAGTAAATTTATAATATATATATATATATATATATATATATATATATATATATATATATATATGTGTGTGTGTGTGTGTGTGTGTGTGTGTGTGTGTGTGTGTGTGTATATAAATAAAAAGAAAGAACAGACTAAATATATAATCCGGTGTTTCTTATAGATATTTTTATTTTACAAAATAGTGCTCAATGTAAATTTACAGAGCATTAATATTATAAATTAATTGATTTAAAATATGGTCTTTTTTCGCTACACAGTTCTAACCATGTTTCAAAAATGGAAGCTAAAAGCCCCGAATTTAATTTTGTAATTAAATTAAAGACATTAGTTCCATTTCATACTCAAGCGAATTTTGGAGTAACTTTTAAAATTACTGGATTTTAAATACACAGCTAAAACAAAATTCATGTTTCCAAGGTTACAGATAAATCTATTTTTCTAGACAGGCGTGTCTGGGTGTTCAATATGTCTATATTTTAATGTATCAGTTATTGGTACGTTTTGGTAGTGGGTAGGGATGTATTTTTCAATGAAATCTAACATCCGTGAACAGCGTGTCGTCTGGATTTTTTAAAAATTATATTGTTAACGGCTAAAATTCTTACGGCATTTTTTTCTTCGTATATTTAAAGATTTTTTGGGGGGGTGTTTAGGTAAGAATACTTTTTATTTAACTAATGAAAATATATTAAAGTTGTAATTAAAATTGTAGAACATTAAAATGAATTCTAACCTAAACTTCTTTTAAATTGTAATTAAATAAATAAATAAAGTTTACTAAATCAGAGAAATGAAAATTTTACTTTAGTAATATTTAAATATAAAATTTTTAAAAATCGTAATTTACTTGATGTGATAATAATTCTACAAACTGTAAGGGATTCTAATTACATTTAATTGTTCTTGAAAGAAATATAGTATATTAAAAATTAAAAAGAAAAATATTTCAATTTACAAAATTAAATTCGGGGCTTTTAGCTTCCATTTTTGAAACATGGTTAGAACTGTGTAGCGAAAAAACATATTTTAAAACAATTAATTTATAATATATATATATATATATATATATATATATATATATATATATATATATATAAGTGAACATTGGAGTCAACACTCAGAGACGACAGGCTATTTCATGCTAGACGCAATCGTCAGGGTTGGATTTTTTCTCGACTATATATATGGGTCATTGGTGCATTGTGGGTAATCCATTCTAGCATGAAACAGCCTGTTGCCTCTAAGTGTTGACTTCAATGTTCACTTTTATATTTACATTTACGCTCTATCTCTGATATTGAGTACTTTATCCCATAAATATAGCACACCTTAATACTATATTTCTTCATATATATATATATATATATGTGTGTGTGTGTGTGTGTGTGTGTGTGTGTGCGTGTGTGTGTGTGCGTGTGTGCGCGTGTGTGTGTGTGTGTGTGTGTCTATGTGTTTTGTGTGTAACAATTGAGGGTCAGTGTGTAAAATTTTGACATGAGCCCCATTCACGTCCACAAGCAAAGAGCTACCGCGCTGACAAATTACAAAGTAACCCCCTTCTTTTCCTCTCTGTGCAAACTACGATCAAAGCGAAAGATATGATAGAAAGTAGACATGGAAGGAAACAGATGCACAGCTGCAAAGAAAGAATGAAAGAATGTGTGTTTGTGTGTGTGTGTGTGTGTGTGTGAGAGAGAGAGAGATGGAATAGAAAGGGATAGAAACACAAGATAAATATATGTCAGACAAAACTTGCCTGAGGTTTATATTTTATTTCAGCTTGAATTAAACGTCACATAAGTTACTTTTCTTCAAGGTCCCTTGGATTGTGAGATCGACTATCACTAGTGATGATGTTTTAATTTCTCAGCAAATTCGACTCTCAAGAAAACACCCAAGGTGTGTTACAAAATTTCGTGTACCAAAAGTTATGCACACACACACACACACACACACACACACACACACACACACACACACACACACACACACATAATGAGGATAAAATACGGATATTTTTCTTGAGGTGTTAATAAATTTCCCCACTCTTTAATTATTACCGTTGAAAACAAATTTCAAAATTATACTTGGATTAAACGAAAATTACTTAAAATATAATACATATTACTTATAATACGATCCTTCTAGCCGTCAACTTTGACGACACGGGTACACTAACAATAATAATAATAATAATAATAATAATAATAATAATACACTTAAAAAGAGCGTGATTTAAGAAAGGAAAAGACAGTGTTTAATAATACTTAATATTTCGACATTATGCTTGTCTTTTGCAAATTATGTTTAAAAATTTAATCCAAGTATACAAATATATATATAAAAAGTTTTTTTCTTTTTTTTTTAAAATCACTTTCTTTAAGTGTTGCGCTGACGGTCTTATCACATTAAAAGACCAGTTGTACGAAGTTAAGCAACGTAGAGCCTGGGTAGGTGACTGCTTGGGAATATCGCATGCTGTATGCTGCGATATGTAGGTGGTTTTAATGGATAATGACCCGAATTTGGAAATATAAGAGCCAAGTTCTTATTCCAGCCGGATACGCGCAAATACTCCTGGGAAAGGTATGACTCCATCTTTTCTCCCCAGCTATGGGTTAATTAGTAGTTGTATCAGTAAATCATTATTATATCCAAAAAATCTTATAATTTTAAAATATTCTGTGACTTTAAATAACCTACAAAAGGTTGATAAACCTTAAAAAATATAAATCAATCAATTTAAGAGTTGCGAAATACTTGAAGAGTTACGCCAATCATTGTGTTTAATAATAATAATAATAATAATAATAATAATAATAAACAAAATGACTGACGTAAATCTTCCAATACTTTTCAACACTAAAAGAGCACGATTTAATAAAAGACTGTTTGACAATGTTCAACAATATTTCGACAGTATGTCTGTCTACAAGTTATGTCTAAAAATTGTATACTAGCATAAAAATATAAAAAATCTACAAAAAATTACAAGCCCCTTTACAACCGCCGATTGTCTTGAGAAAAAAAACGGTTGTAGTGGTAATCAACGTGTCAAAACGAATGGAACGCAGCTAGCGTAAATGGAATGCAATTGAAACGTGAGTAGGTTAATGGGGGTCTTGGAATTTATCGTTAGTTGATTAGTTACTAAGAGGTGTTAATAAAACTGATTAGTATAAATCCTATGGAACTCTCTCATCATCCCTCCGAGGTGGGACGTTACTAGTTCGTATGCATAACTATCCTCGTGCGTTTTAAGGCTAACAAGATCGGTAGATTGTGGATATATTTTCGAAATGTGTACCTTAAGATGTTCGTCGAAATTATGGAAATGTAATGAAATGTTCTGTAAGCTTCATTGATGGCTCATTTTTTGTATCTGACATCATACTTGTGGCTATTAAAATTTTTGTTCCATTTTCCATTGTGCAACCCATATAGATCAAGTCATGTTTGCTACATTGAGCGATGTATATCAAAAGGGAATCAACACAATTGCAATCAGAAGCCCCCAGGGGAATTTTAAGTGTGACCATTTGTATTCGTTAGAATTTTTTGTTTTTCTTTCGTCTGTAAGAAACAATAGGCGAGTTGGGAAAAAATCTCTTTTAAACGAAGATATTTTTGAGAAATATGGTCATAGCTGTCGTGTCGTACTTTCGAAATGACAACAAAATGCCGGTGCAAGTTGATGACTGATGGGATTCGATCAGAATTTTGATTATGTTTCTCGGTGTTTTGATCTGGGGTAAAATTATGGCAAACTTCATTTTTATCTATTTCATTAGCAACTTGTTTCAGTCGCGGCACGTGATAACCCCGATAATAATAATAATAATAATAATAATAATAATAATAATAATAAAGTTTCCGATAGACTCATTGAAGGGATTCTTGGTAGACCATGACTTAAAGAAATACAAATAAATCGCACTCAAAAGTACAGTTCACACATTACGAAGAACTTTATGTAAAATAGGTGCGATATTATTTTTTTGTTTTGTTTTGTTTTTTTACAGAAATGATCAGTGAAAAATTTCATGAAACCATTTCTGATCTTAGGTGTCTGGTTAGGATCCCGAAGGAAATATGTGTACAAAAAAATCCAAGGAAATAATAATAATAATAATAATAATTGTGGAACATGGGACACTACCTGGAAATCTGGGAAAAAAAACGCTTCGGGAGAATTGTAAAAGACCAACATTGTAAACCTCCAGAGAATTGCCATTATTTACTTTGCGAGGAGACTCCGAAAAGTCCAAGAATTGTGAGAAGACTTGCTGACACCATGCTACAAGAACAGAATTTCCATTTACCACGTCAATGTGACACCAACATGATGATTGAGTGATTGATTCATTTTTTACGGTTTATCAACCCATTTATAAAGCTAGAAAAATATTTTTAGCTTGTAAGAATTTTTTTTATGAGATAATAATGATTTACTAATAAAAGTCTTATTATTTCCATCATTAGGACTATTGTCCTCATCTTTGTCAACATATTTATTACAACGTTTCGGCCTTTCAGTATCTGTCTATATTTCTGAGATGAGGTATTATGTACACTATTTACATTAATCGGACTATTGTCCTCATCTTTGTCGCCATATTTATTACAACGTTTCGACCCTTCAGTATCTGTCTATATTTCTGAGATGAGGTATTATGTACACTATTTACATTATTCGGACTATTGTCCTCATCTTTGTCGCCATATTTATTACAACGTTTTGGCCCTTCAGTATCTGTCTATATTTCTGAGATGAGGTATTATGTACACTATTTACATTAATCGGACTATTGTCCTCATCTTTGTCGCCATATTTATTACAACGTTTCGACCCTTCAGTATCTGTCTATATTTCTGAGATGAGGTATTATGTACACTATTTATATTGCTCGGACTATTGTCCTCATTTTTTGTCGCCATATTTATTACAACGTTTTGACCCTTCAGTATCTGTCTATATTTCTGAGATGAGGTATTATGTACACTTTTTACATTATTCGGACTATTGTCCTCATCTTTGTCGCTATATTTATTACGAAGGAGATTTTCGCGTAAGTGAATATAACAAAACCAACTGGAATTGAAACTCGGCTCTCCGATTAACAATTCTTACCCATCATCCATTACATCACCCGCACATCCACGCTTACACCTCTTGGTATTCCTAAGCGGTCACCCGTGTAGGTACTGACCAGGTTCGACGTTGCTTAACTTCCGTGTCCGTACGGGAATCGGTGTTTCAATGTGATAGGTGCGTAAGCCAACATGATGATGAATAAAATTTCATAAATAATATACGTATATACATAACTATACATTATGAAATGGCCAAAGCCCGACAATTATTTTAAGACATTTTTATGTTTATACATTCTTTTTATAGATACAACGGTTAAAGCACGTCAGGCTAAACGACAGTTCCGTATAGGATACAGGTTCGATTCCTGTCGGAGGACACATATATTCTATGAAAATTTTTCGGACATTTAGACCGCTAAATCTCGTTAATACTTTTTATTATAAACAGAGCATTTACTTAAATATTTGTATCTATTAAAAGAATGTATAAACCTAAAAATGTCTTAAAATATATAACCATGTTAAAAATAATATACTTTTTTATTGTATTGGCTGACATGGTTGATGGAAAGGAGACGTGCTTGATGAGCAATAGAAAAATGAATTGATATTTGGTTAGAAATTGTGCTTTTCACTTGCCATCAAGATTTATCTATTAACACCCTTTGAGACCCCAAGCCTTTATCGATTGCCTTTTATCCTTCAGGTTGGTTTGGTTTGGTTTGTTTTACAGCATATCAACCTCAATAGGTTATTTAATGCCGACAAGATTTATATCGCTGGTAATAATTTATCGACCCTTTGAATAGTCAAAATAACATCCAAGGATTGTTATCGACTACTTTGAAGACCTTGTTGATTTATTTAAGATGGAATGATCTATTACAACATGTCCCTAATTTATATTTAGAGACGTTGTGTTCATTTCCAATTTTTCTAGTTGAATTCTTCACTTATATTGCATAGGATCCATTATTGTAATTAGGTTACAATAAAATTTGTATTTTATATGTAGAGTGAACCGTATCATACATTCTGGGGGCGGGGGGAATGAGATCTTTGCACTTGGCCTGCTAACGGGTGTTTGTAAAAAGTCTGTTGAATTTTGACTTTATCGTCCTTCACAAATAGAAAACAAATGCAAAATTCTTGAAAATTGGTATTTATTAATAATTTTCCCAATTTAATATTTTACAAGTGTTTTTAAAAATATACTAAAATAATATAAAACTGTTAAAAATTGCCACAAAACATTGTTGCATTAAGATGGAATGACTTATGACGTGTCTCTAATTTGTATTTAGATAGATTGTATTTATTTCCAATTTTCTAGTTGAATTATTCACCTATATTGCATAGGATCCATTATTGTACATGATTAGGTTACCATAAATTTATATTTTATATGAATAATACCTTATAAAAATAGTTTTTAAATATTTTTTAATATTTTCATTTTTTTAGATAACCCCTTTTTTATTGATTATCAATTTTTAAAATATAATCTTATTTAAATTTAATATAAATATCTAAATATAACTTTTTTTTTGTTTTACTGTATATCAAACTCAATGGATTATTTAATGCCGACAAGATTTTTACTGCTGGTAATATTTTTCCAAAAATGTATTTTTGGTAATAATTTATTTTTGGTAATCATTTTTTCTTCAGAATTTATTGCTGGTAATCATTTTTTCCCCAAAACCTATTTTTATGCTGTCATGGTGTTTTGACCACTTTGTATGCGTAGTGTGGGGGGGGGGGAATTAACTAATTGCCCATAGTTTGGACCCTGACAGGTCCTACCACCCCGGGTCAGGGTGGATTTGGGAACACCATGCTCCTCAAAACCTCCTGATTAGAGGCCTTGCTGTATGCAGTTTATCATCTTACCCAGGACGCTATCCTTCAGGCATTTATCGACCCCTTGAATAGTTCAAATAACATCCAGGGATTGTTATCGGCCACTTGGAGACCTCAGTACTTCCTTCCGTTTTGTTAAGCTATTAATGTATTCTGAACATACTAATGTCTGCGTTGGACTTTGGAAAGTAGTGACCATTTATCAGCAGTTGTCTCCACCTGTGACATAACATGAATTATTCCCTGCCATGTATTTATTCCCCGTCATTTTGAGCAAGCTTATTTAGTGACTTATACTCAATAATTGGTGACCCCAGAATTAAATTATCTTCACCCCCCTCTGTTTTGACTTTCATCTATTTCTTTCTCCAGACATCATATTTTCAAAATACAATTGGCTTACGGCCGTATCCTGCTGAAACATCAGTTCTCATCCGATCGCCGAAGTTAAGCAATGTCGATCCTGGCAAGTACTTGCTTGTTCAGATTTAGTTTGCCACAAAGAAGTAGGTTTGGTAAGATTGTGTTGCGTCGAGCATTCGAATTTCGCAATTTTTTCAAGATCTCGATCATCTACCTCTGGCAGTAACAAGAAATACACAATTATCACAGTAGCTACGAGATATTTAGTAATCCTTTTATAATTTAGTATAAGGCTGCGGCTGAGAGAGAACAAGTAAAGATTAGAGTCACTTACCCTTTCTGAAATGATGGATTCTTGTTTTCGGGAAGTAGGAGTCACTAATATTAGTTTAGTCTGCCACAAGTACCTAAAATTCAGGGCCTCTTGTTATAATTGTGATCGATAGCATTAGTCTACGAACATATGGGATGTTGCGTTACAGCAGGCGCCCTAAAATTGAGTTCTTGTTTTGAACCACATATTTGTATGTAAAGGCTTCACAGTTACTGAAGTTGATTTTTGTTTTTGATTAAAATTATCGATTCAAAATGGACCTCAGTTCATAAACAGTTTTCGCTTTTACTCTTAAAAAAAAATAGAAAGAAAGCAAAAACACGCAGATGTCATGTTCAGGAACTCGTTTTCTTCCGTCCTCAAAAAAGAACATTTTGTAAGCCATGTTTTCAAGAGCTGAAGAACTCGTGTCTAAAATTGAAGTTTGTTCAAAAGAATTAAAATTCAATTCAACAAATTTTGGCCAGAAAAAAATTAACACACCCATACAATAAATAAATAAAAAATCAAAAGAGTTGTAAAGAAATTGCTGTTTACAAAATTAAAATATTGAATTGAGATTCAAAAATTATCGCCCCCACCACTTTTGGCTTTTTGTTTTCATTTACTAAATTTCTTCTATTGCTTTGTGACTCGAACGTGCCGCTTAAATTGTAGGCCGATTTAACTTTGCGTAAATACAGATTCACATACAGTAGTAGAAGGTGCCCGTTATTTTTTTTCTTCTCCTTTTTAGTTAGTACCACAGGCGCTTCTCTCGGTGTAGACATATCTATCTATCATGATATAATAGAGGCTGAAAGTCAAAGTAATCGCCAAAACACAATGTGCAAATGATTTAAATTCAGCTATCCTTCTCTTAGACTGGCTACTATCAAACGCTAGAGAGCACGAACTACTGTTATTTAATCCATAGACGGAGGGAGAAACGGTGAATTCATTCCTTTCCCAAGAACATTAGTCCGAAGTAAGCGTAAAAACGCTTATGAACTCAGCACCCCCAGTCCCCCTCTCTCCTCCCCACACACACACACACACACACACACACACACACACATATATATATATATATATATATATATATATATATATATATAAAGAAAGAACAGTAAGATATATAATAAGAAGTATATAGTAATATATATAATCCGGTGTTCTTATTGATATTTTTTATTTTTATTTTTACAAAGCAGTGCTCAATGTAAATTTACAGTGCATAAATATTATAAATTAACTGATTTAAAATATGTTCTTTTAACTACACAGTAATAACCATGTTTCAAAAATGGAAACTAAAAACTTCAAATTTAATTTTGTAATTAGAAGATGAAATGGAACTAATGCTATTAATTTAATTACAAAATTAAATTTGAAGATTTTAACTTCCATTTTTGAAACATGGTTATTACTGTGTAGCGAAAAACATTTTAAATCAGTTAATTTATATATATATATATATACATACATATATATATATATATATATATATATATATATGTGTGTGTTTTCGACATATATACATATATATATATATATATATATATATATATCAGATAAGATGAGAACGAATAGAGTACAATTCAAACGTTTGTAACATTTAATTTAAAAGAGAGCGTAATACAGAGCAGAACAATATTATTTATTTTAGGATTTTAAACCGAAAACATGTCAAAATCGCTACACAATTGCAGTCGTATTTCAATGCATATCAATGCATCTCATCAGGCGATTGTAAATTAATGGCGAGTGAACGATTTATTTAGATTTAAAAGCAAAATGCATCCCCTTTTTCGAAAAATATCTGCCAATCTACATGGTCATGACTCATTTATAAAAATAATTTCGTAATTTGTGCTTTCTTTGTTTAGTTTAAATTTATCGTAGGTCATATTTGATTGGTTGATCTAAGCAAAGCCCCAAAACCTTATAACACCCACTTTGCTTTCGTAAAAGAGGTTGTATTTTACTTTTAAATCTAAATAAATCATTCAGTAATTTACAATTGCCTGATGAGATGCATTGATACGCATCGAAACACGACTTCAATTGTGTAGCGATTTTGACATGTTTTTCGGTGTAGTATCCTAATATATATATATATATATATATATATATATATATATATATATATATATATATATATATATGATAAAAATATAGTTTTAATGTATGCTATACTTATGGGTGAAAGTGTCAGGTATAGAATGTGTGTAAACATAAAGGAAGATGAAAGGAATTTTCAGGCTATGAAAATTGTGTTCAAGTATGAAAAAGACTGTCGCCACTCAGTTTGACCTCAGTGCCTAATTATATATGTAACATGCTTTGGACTTCACAGTCACTGAATACGTCGATGGACAAGTAAATATGAATATTGCCTTTAAATACAGATTTTTCTCTGACTCTCGAAATAGACATATCTTCTCAGTTTCGTATGGTAACGTAAACACAGCAATTTCTAAAAAAAAGAGGGATGTTTTATTTATTAATCCGTCAGGTTTTATTACTTAATCGTTATTTTAAGTGGATACTCGTATTTGAGTAGACGCTCCGTTTATTTATTAAACAGTTTAATTATTTATTTTCGTCTATCGGTCTGAATATT